GCTGGTGTTTATTAAATCAAAAATAATGTTGCAATGAGGATTTTGTTGGTATTTCAAATGGAAAGGAAAAGTAAATAGGAATTAGATATTCCTCAGGAAAGAAAAAAAAAGAAGCACCAAAAAACCAACAAACTACCACACCACAACCTCCAAAGCAGCCCATGGGTAATAAAAAGCAATGATTTTACTTAAAATGTCACCTATGAGCTACCTTTAGAGAGGGGATATAGTACCTATAAACTCAAAACACTAGGTATGTTGAAATCCATAAAATTTCCAATTACTGCTTCAGAATTTATTGTGCACATATGGAAAATAATACTTGTAAAAGAGAAAGGGGTTTGTGCCTGGTGCTGTCAATACTGTGAAGGATGGGGTGATTATAAAGCAAATTAACAATACTTTTAAATGTGCATTCACTTATCTTTCCAATTAAATCCTTGTTAAACAACTGCACAGACAGTAATGGTGCTTCTGCAAAGCACTGATCAAGACAGTTTTATTGTAATTTTTACTCTGTAACAATTAATCAAGTAGGCATTTTCTTTATTATTAAATTTTTTAGTTAATAAATATTCGCCATCGGTTCACGTATTTCTGGTTTAAATTTTTCTCTTAATTTTTCTTAAACTGAATTATATTCCAGCAAGTTCTTATAGAAGGAACAACAGAAATATTATAATTTTTTTTGCCAAGATGTTTTTTGTTAACACAAGGTGATGTCAGAGGAAGAGAAATTTCACCTTTTGTCCCCAGTGTAGTTACCAATTCAGATATCTTTGGCTCTCCTTTCCAAGTTTCATAAGAAATGTGCCTCTCTGCAAGAACATAATATATAGATTCTGTAAAAATTCTTTTTTTTTTTTTTTCCACCCTTTTTTGGTACATAAGTATCATAACTGAGCCATAAAAACGCAGTAATTGACCTTTGGACGGTACATGGTGTTTTGCAGTGAACGCACAAGGTATTCCAAATGAAATAATGGGATGCAAAGGTCATCTGTACAGCAAATACCAAGCATTTTGCAAACAAAGCGTTGGATATAAAGACAATTAGGAACTCTCTTGTATTATGTATGAACCAACACTTAGTGAATGAACCAATAAGTATTGAAATTTGTATTTCTATGGTTAGTTTCCCTGAACATATATGCATTAGGATAGAATCCTAGTGCTTCAGCAATGTGTTATGAACCCTTTATAGCTCCATTTTTTTCAGTTAATTTAGTACTCATGAAAATTGCTTGTTTGACAGTCACAGAAATTGAATGTCTTGCCAGCTACCCAGCAGATTAACACAGGAGGAATAAAAAAGTAAGCTTCTACCTTCTCACCCAGGCATCTCTGGGCTTCAAGCACAGAGGACAATTGAGGGTTTGCTGGGACAGGCAGACACGAGCAGGACAGGGAACCCGTAAGGTTTGGCACAAAGAAGGTCCTTACCCCATTATATCATATTGTGCGCCAACACAATGGGCTTGGCCAGAGCAGAGAGTGCACCAGAAATTTACACTCTTACTTACATCCTTTTTTCATGTACATCCTTCTTTTTGTTTTTCTTTCTCAGGCACATTTTGCCCCACTGGTAATGTTTTTTGATCAGGTCAGAAGCTTGCTTTTGGAAATCATCTCCTGCCTTTCCCCACTTTCATATAGTGGAGCCTTAACGACCCTGAGCAGCCCCACCTGGGGCTCCCCCAGCCCTGCCCATGGGCTCAGGGCCCATGTCAGCCCCACCCTGGGGCTTTGGGCCAAAACAATTGATCTTGCCAGTAGCATCCTCATACCCTGGAACTGCCAGCACACTTTACATGGCTTAACAGACACATTTATAGAACCTTATCCCTTTTCCTACATGTGTGAATTAAAATAATATCCTTATCAGTATCTCTAAAGGCTTTAACTTACTGGACCTTGTTTAAAATCAGCAGAAGTCCTTCAGATTTTTCATAAAATCCCCAAAGAACCAATTTTTTTTTTTTTTTTTTTAGATTGCAACTGTTAACCAACAATATATAAAGCATAAGAGGAATGGATATCTCTAACACCTCTGGCTTTTGCAGAAACCTTTGCCATGGGTTAAAAGCCAGAAATATTGAATGACTAGTAGCTTAGTTTCTAAAAACAAAATTCTTTCTGTGCTTGTAGAACAAGAGAAGTATGAATTTCCTGATGACAGTTAGGTCCAAACAGCTTCCACTGCCTTGATTCAGTGATTTGAAAAATGATGACTTAGAGTTTTGAAAGTGCTGAGAGATGTTATAGCCTGGTCCTCTTATGATCAACTGATCTTTTCAGCTCTTAATGGGAAAATAAATCATAGATAAAAGATAATCCTGTTGCACAGAAGCAAAAAAGGTGTGATATCAATAGACTTTCATAGAAAAAGAAAATTCTGTGGAAGGAATAAAGTAAATAAGGTAGTTTGTTCTGCTGATGCTCGTGTTGGCAAGGTCAAAGCCCTCTTCAGGAGCTGCCTACCTCAAGCAATGGGAATGAAGCACAAAGTAGATTCAGAGAATTTAAAAAGATACAAGGCATGGTGTTGTTTTTTTTTTTTTAATTGTAAACCCATTTCAAGGGTCTTTTTAGATTTTTACTGATCCTATTTCTTCTTTAATGATAAAGTTATCAAGTTTGATTTCCTTTCACATTCACCAGTTCTCTCTCATTTAATTTTTGATGCTGCAGATGACATTAACAGGATAGGAAAAGGAGCCAAATAAAGCTTCGCCACATTTTAATTAATGATTATTCTAATAAAAAATAGTTTGAGATGGCAGACAGCCTAAAGTCTCTTCTATGATCTTTAATTTTCAATGTGATACATATTATTTATATCCTATAGATGTAGGTGTAGCACAATGGCAAAACAAGCAGGAAGAAAGAGCCCATCAAGTGTTTCGCCTATACAAGACCTGATATATATCTCTGTGATATAAATAGGACTTTTCAGGACATTTGTTTGCATTTATAATGAAATTAAACTTTAAGTACAATTGAAAAAAAATCTTTATGGGAAAATCATATCAAGATTTCTTTCCTACCATTAACTGCAGAAAAGTGAAGGTACAGGGACTGAGACTAGGGGGTCACAAGTTTTTGCAGGTACTCTGTGCCTCAAAAGGCTGTTTGCTACCTGCAGCTTCGACTGGTCACTCAACAGGCAGATTTCTTGCATGTGTCCTAAGTAGCGATTTGTCAGAGTGGCTTTAAAGTACCATGAACTTCACTCCTATATATTCATTTTTCACAGTGGTATAAACCAGAAGAAAAAGGTGCCTGGTACCTCTGCAGTGCAAAAAGCCAGCTTAGACTTCTGCCTAGCTTTACCGTAACAGACCATCTGTTTTAGGTGAAAACTTGAGCAGCAATGTTAACCTCAAGTACGTTAACCTTTGGATGCCATGAGACATGATAGACAGGACTATTACTCTTACAGCACATTTTTTTTTTTTCCAGAGCAAATATCTCAAGGAGTAAAGAAGGATAGAAAATCCTGGGTTTTGCCTCTCTGTCTCCAAACAAAATAGAGTCTACGGTCATTTGAAAGCCAAGGCAGACTACATTACACACAAATACCCAACAACGATAAATCTAAGGGAACCCAAGTAATGAGTCAAAACCATGAGGTTGATGATTTATTCAGTCTCACTGAATTTACTGGCGTAAATACTGATTCCTCATAAACTGGAGTTCACCCTTCAGTTTCAGCTGAAGACAAGGCTGATCTGAGGAGGTGGCAAACATCTACTGCTCCCTGGAAACCTTCCCTGGAGATGTAGACGGAGGCTTGAAGGCGGGAATATTTTTACATCTCTCGTATCTCTCAATTTCATGAGAATTTTTGTGTCAAAAATCTTAGTTTATGTATAGCACAAAACTAGTTGAGGAAGTTGTTCTCCAACAGCTGACATTTCAAAAAAAAAAAAAAAACCCACATGCAACACACAATATTTAACAGTCCTGGTAACAGTATGCAGGTAACTTTAAAAGAGTTAATAAAAAGTAAGAGAAAATGTTGCAGCAGCTTCACATTGTGTATAAAGTCTTTAATGCAATTTAAGATTGGGGATTTTTCCTAATTTCTGAGAAGCTTAATTTTATTTTCTCATTAAGTAGTATCAGGAGGTTTGCTATCACTGATCATATTTGCTACACTATGAAATGCGGGGATAGTTAGTCTTTGCCCTGAGTAATAGACTGTTCAGAGAGGTGAATGGATTTACCATGTATCCTAATTAGCTCCAATATCAGCTTCCACACCTGTAACAGTATCTGTTGATCAATGTTAGATCCATTTAGGCCACATGTGTGAAAAGAGTTCTTTTGCATTTGTGCAAATATGTTCATTATATGTGGCACCTGTGGAAACATGGTCAGTGGGTATGTACAGGTTGGTTCTAATTCTGGTTCTCAAGTCCGCAAAATATTCACCTTTCCTCTTCTCATTTCCTGGGGTCAAATCTTTGCCCTTTCAAAGTCAGCGGTAAATCTTCCACTGACTTTTACAGAACCAGTACTCCACTTTAAGCATTTCCTTTTCAGCTCTTTTCAGCACCTTTTTCTCTTCTACTGGTTTCCTTTGGATGCCTGCTCTACTGTTGGTTTTGTGTAACTTTCAACATCCAAACAATCTGCTATGTTTCCTTCTAATATTTTTTTTGTCACTTTGATTCTTTGGTTTCTACATAGACTTTGTTTTTTGCCACCTTACTTTCTGTATCCACTTCCTCATTTTTTTCTTTTTTTTTCTCTCTTTGTGTTGTTTGTTTCTCATCTCCTGTTTAACTACTATTTTCCTCTGCTTACTCTGCTGTTTTTCCTCTCTCCTAGCTGACATTTCCCTCGGTGCAATATCTTTCTACCTTCCCTTTCCTCTCTTTTACAAAACACAGCTCATCATTCTATGCCACTAATGTATAGCAGATTCTGAAATACTGTCATCTGAGACAGTTAAGTACTAAACAAAACATTACCAGGGTGGAGGAATCACTTACCCTGATTGACAACAAATCGTAACTTCTGTATTGTTGCCAGATTGCCGCTAACTCTGTATATTCCATCAACATCTAGACCTGAAAGAGAAACACATATTTCATTTTAGATCATAGAAGTATTTTTCTTTGTACGTCTGTCAGGAAGCCAGAAGCGCCCTAACAAGTATGAAGAATGAACGACGGAAAAATAATCCAACTGACAACAACTGAAGTGCCTCCTGTCTGATTAAAGCAACAATGAAAAATAAAAGTGCTAGATTAACTTAAGTGAATACAAAACACCTAACTATAATTATCTTGTAATTCTGTCAGCGGAATACGGTTCCACAAGGGTATTTGAGTGTGACGGGAAAGGAAGAGTGAATTAGCTCCTATGCTCGTGGGGAAGGGCTGTTGGGGGTACGCAGGACGCTATGTGAGCCCTGCTTAAATACGGGGTGTTTTTATTAACAGCACTGGTGAAACTTCTCCAACTGGGTTTTTCAGATGTGAATTCTCGAGGCTTTGATCTTTCTGAAAAAAAAGTGGTGAGATGCCCACTCTGAAATTACGGCATGCGCGAGACTGCACACAACTGCTGTTTCTCGACTATATTCTTCATAGAAGATCAAGACAAGTTTGAAGATGAAATTAAATATCCCAACTAGCATATGCCCTGGAGTACATTTCTTCATTAATACAGGCCATTCTTTTCAAGGACAACCTGACAGTCTTGTTTCTCCCCGCGTATCTACTCAAGGTTTATCTTCTAGGTGAAACTAGATGTCATACTCCCTTTTGTGACATATTATCTCCTACAGCAAGCTCTGCTGATATGACTGTTTAAAATAGCTCTTCCAGCCCCGGTTGCATAGCTGTAGCATTTCAAAGCACATGGGAACTGCTCTCCTCTCCCGGGAGAATTAGCTATTGTGCAACAATGACCAAATCTGCATGACTAAAAATTGAAAACACTGGACTGTATATTTCATTTCACATTTAAAACTTGCAAATACGTAAGAAGCTAAGACAATCTACACAAACCAGGTTTTTTTAAGGCTAATCATCACTTGGAACACAAGTTCTGATTAGCTTTTAACAAGCAGTTTCGGAGAAAGTCTTAGAAAAATGCTAATTTGTCAAAATTTAAAAAAAAATCAGGAAATATTTCCTGACAATGTATCTAGGGGACATTTTTTTTTTTTCCAATATGGGGTGGGGAAAAAGGAAAAATTGAAAGTATAGGAAAGAGGGAAAA